CTATGTCCCTCCTGTCCATTCATCCTCAAACTCTCCTTATCCTGGGAACTTTCTGAGCAACTGCTGCTGCCTCATGCCTACACTGCCTCTCTCACGTGGACTGGGGAGCCCTCCGCCAAGAGGATGAAAAGACTCAGAGGTTTCCTTTCTTTTTTTCTTTTTCTTTTTTTTAAAATATATTTTATTGATATTTCACAAAGAGGAGAAAGGGAGAGAGAGAGAGAGAGAGAGCTAGAAACGTTGATGAGAGAGAAACATCGACCAGCCGCCTCTTGCACACCCCCTACCGGGGATGTGCCCGCAACCAAGGTACATGCCCTTGACCGGAATCGAACCAGGGACCCCTCAGTCCGCAGACCGACGCTCTACCACTGAGCCAAACCGGCTTCGGCCAGAGGTTTCCTTTCATGTCCCACGTCCCCAGGGAGACTGGGTGGCCTTGCCTCTTTATGGTAAGGGGAATTTCTGGGTCAAGGTACCACCAGGATCTGTGGGAATGCCCCCTCGATTCCTGAGCTGGGAAAAGTGGATTGAGGTTTGAGGATTGGAGCCCCAAAGCTGGAGTTGCTGGGAACTCCACCCTCTCGGAAGGGCGAGGAATTGGTCTGTTGGGTTACAGATGTGCCCCAGCTGGACTTGCGTGCGCCCCCCCCGCCCCCCGCCCCGCAGGCCCCCCCCCCCCCCCCCCCCCCCGGTCAGTGTTTATTGCTGCTCAGCCCCAAGGAGAGATGCTGAGTCAGCGTTCCCTGGTGCGGCTAGCTCCTGGAGCCAGGCTGTCCTGTATCTCTCACACCGTCCCCCCTTAGATAAACAGACTGGCATCCTCCACACACCACGAGGTTCTGATGTGGTTGCAAAGGGCTCCGTTAGCCAGACGCCACTCTCTGGAAGAAGGGCCCTGGCAAAGGGCCCTGCTTTTCTTCCAGCCTGAGTCAGGCCTTTGCTGGAGTGACAGGAGAATCCACTTCCTGCCCGAAAAGGTGGCCTCGGCAGAGGTCCCCGCTGGGCGGAGCCTTCCTTCCTAGCGGCTCACCCACCCGGGCTTCCTCCTCACGAAGGCCTGGGCAGGCCTGGGCACAAGGCAGCCCCCCTCCGCCTTTCATGTGTGCGGTTTATCTTTTGAACCCGGCCCTGCAAACTGGGCACCGACCAGCTTACAGGACCACTTTGCAGCCTGCCTGGCCCCCTGGGCGGGGTGACGTTTGAACTGTATATCAAACATGGCCCCAGATGTTCATTCCGCCCCCGCCCGCCCCTCTGAACGCCGCAGTTCTGTGAGCCCCCCACACTGAGTAAACTCAGCTGGGCCGCCTTTATGTGGTTTGTTCTGGAGCCTGAACAAGGGGATTTGCTTTCTTTGAAAGGTGACCTGTGAGCAGAGAGAATGTCCCCGGCAGCTGGTTGGTGGTGGGCCTTGGGGATGACAGAGAGGGCAGACCCCGAGGCTCTGGGCTCAGAGTGGGGGTGGGATTAGTGACCAGGGGGGCGCGGCTCAGCACCGGAGAGCGAGGGGTAGAGGGAGGCAGACCAGCTGGGCACTTGTGGCTCTGTTGGCCTTGTACTCTCGGCGGAAGGGCTTGTTGTGGCCCCGGAGGGCCCAGTTGAAATCAGAGGTGGGGGAAGAGGAGGGTCTGTTACCGAAGAAAGAGAGGCCAGCTGCAAAGCATCCTCGGAGAGGCCTTCTGGGGAAAGCTCAGAGCTGCAGGGGTATCAGGTGACCCCTGCCTTCCAGGAGGCACATGGACCCATCGAGGGGATTCAGACTGCTCTTTAGTGGGAAAGGCACAGGGAACAGAACCATCACTCTGCCAAGCTGGCTTTTCCTCCTCCAGGAAGCCCTCCCTGACCTCCTCCTCCAGCTCCCATGTTCTCACTGAAATATGGTAGCAACCATACTTGGGTGAAAACTGCTGTTTGAATTTTAACCCTGCCATTCTGGCTTCTGCACCTGCTTAAAATAGGGTAGTTACCTCAGCTTTCAGGTGGAGACCTGGAGGCTAAGGCAATTTTCCTGTGCCTGCGACCAGAACTACAGGAGATTGATTCCCACTGACTCAGTAGCTTCAGGGGTAGAAACTGTAGATAACCTTTAGACAACACTCACCATTCCCGGCCACTCCAGAACTTACCTGTCTGCCTCTAGCACCAAAGTAAAGGTTCACAAACTTCCGGGTGGGGCCCAGGAAGCCACACCCTCCAGGTGACTCAGGCATGGGCAGCCTTCAAAGAACCATCTTGCTCTAGAGCAGCCTCTTCAAATAGAAATGTAACGTGAGCCACATATGTAACCTTTTCTAGTAGCCACTTAAAAATGTAAAGCAGCTAAAATAATTTCTAAAGTATTTTTTCATTTAAGCAAAAATATCATTCCAACATGCAATCAATACACAAATTGTTAATGAGGTATTTCACATTCCTTTTGTGTGTGTATGTTTTTTGTATGTTTTGTTTTACTGTCTTTGAAACCTGGCTCCTGCCCAGACCTATCCTCATTTTATTATTTTTTATTTATTTGTTTGTTTGTTTGTTAATCCTCACCCAAAGATATTTTCCCATTGATCTTTTAAAGAGAATGGAAGAGAGGGGGAAAGACAGAGAGAAACATCCATGTGAGAGAAACACACTGATTAGGTGCCTCTTGCATGCACCCTGACCAGGCCCCAGGCTGGGGAGGCGCCTGCAACCATGGTATGTGCCCTTGACCAGAATCAAACCTGGGACCCTTCAGTCTGCAGGCCAATGCTCTATCCACTGAGCCAAACCAGCTAGGGCACAATTATTAAGTTTTGAGAGGTGGCCTTACCACATTAGGGTTTGAAAATTCATGAGCCAGCTTTTCTTCAATTTCAGTCTGTATTCAGGGAAGTGAAAATTAATAATGGTGCAGTCTCTGTTTTGTTTTGAATGGAATCCGACAGTGACCCGCCCTTCACGTGTGGGCTCCAAATAGCCTGTGTATGTTGGGTAATGATTTGTGCAGGAGAGAATCCTATGGTCCTGTGAGAGCTGGATGGGTGGGTAAGGGAACGGACGGATGGATGGGTAGGGATATGTGTACCTGCACATACACGTGACATTGAGCGTAGGACCACGTTCACCACCTCCAGTGCTAGCACTTTGACCCAAGCCACCATCAACAGGATCCTAACTGGTCCACCTGCTTCCACTCTGTAGCCCATTCACTACCCTGTAGCTCAAGCCTTCCTCTTCACGATCTGGCCTGTCCTGCCTCCTGGGTCTCATCGCGTATACCTCGGCCCTCGCTCGCTCCTCTCCAGCCATGCTGGCCTTTTCAGGCCCTTTGCACGTCCTGTTTCGCCAGCCTAGACACATTCTGTCCTTCTCGGGGGCCCTCCCCTCCTGCGTGGCCTGTGATCTCTGCTGACCTGTTGTCTAACACGCCTTTCTCACCACCCTGTATAAAAAGTAACAACCAGCTGAAACCGGTTTGGCTCAGTGGATAGAGCATCAGCCTGTGGATTGAAAGGTCCCAGGTTCGATTCTGGTCAAAGGCATGTACCTTGTTTCGGGCACATTCCAAGTGGGGCGGGTGTACAGGAGGCAGCTGATCAATGTTTCTAACTCTCTATCCCTCTCCTTTCCTCTCTGTAAAAAAACAAATAAAAATGAAAAAATATAAAAAGTAACAACCAGGTTTTCCGTCAACGCTGTATCCTAATTCATGTGTCTTCATAGCACACCTTCCTCCCCCAGAACATGTATTTATTTGTTTACTGTTTGTCTCCCTCCACTAACATGCAAACTCGTTGAGGCCAGAGGCTTTATTTCTCTTTGCTGTCCTTCTGTTAGTGTCCAGTGTCCCAAGTTCATGCTCAGTAAATATCTGAAGGAAGGCATGAACTTCAGGTGTCATGTGACTGATCTTCCTCCTTTTACCAACAAGGAGCCTGCGGGTCAACTCGGGGAGCTCCAGGCTTTGCCCAGGTCACAGGGCTGGGTCCCCAGAGCAGGCTAGCCCTGCCTTCTCCGCGCCTGCCCGCGCCTCGGGAGGGAGATTGACCACATGCACCGGGGACGGGGACGCCGCCACGGCCATCCTGTCTCCTGTGTGTTTTTCCAGTTTAGACAGCATTTCAGCCCAGAACAGCAGAAGAAAAAAAAGCAACATTGCTCCTCCAGAACCCTGGAAACTCTTCCAGTGGGTCTGCCCCTGGAAAAACAGCAGCGACCTCAGGGTGGGAAGGTAGGAAACGGAGGAGGGGGCTCTTCCAGCCATGGGGACAAGGGGCCAGATTTGGTTTTGCAATTAAAGCAGCATCTGGGTCTTGTTTCCGCAGAGCGGGCTCTGGAAGGTGGGTGTAGCTGGAGTGTCAGGCAGGGCCTTCCGCTCTCCTGGCCCAGGAGGGTTTGGGGTGGCAGGTGGCTTAAGGGTTCACTCAGCATATGACATCAGGAAACTGGGCCCAGCCAAAACCAGTTTGGCTCAGTGGATAGATCGTCGGCCTGTGGACACAAGGGTCTGGGGTTCCATTCCCGTCAAGGGCATGTACCTTGGTTGTGGGCACATCCCCAGTGGAGGGTGTGCAAGAGGCAGCTGATTGATGACTCGCTCTCATCGATGTTTCTGACTCTCTGTCCCTCTCTCTTCCTCTCTGTAAAAAAAAAAATAAAAATCAATAAAATATATTTTTAAAAAAGAAAAAGAAAAAAAATGGGCCCAAAGAAGTCTCTGGAAACCTCACTTGCAGCCTGGCCCGAAAGCCTGTTGAGCCCTACCCTGGTCTCAGTGGCATCTCCTGACACCTACCGCTGCCCCCCTCCTGGGCCCCTATCCCTCCTTGAGATTGCTTAGACACCTGCTTTGAGGCATGGAGAGCCCTGGCCTCCTCCCTCTCACGCCCCATATGGGTTGGAAATTGTCTGTGAAATGAGAGATTTGAGGTGTCACTCATCCGTGTGAGGACAGTGGAAGGAGTGGGGGAGGGTGCCGAGGGCCGGTCCAGTCTTCTGAATCCCATTTCTTCTGTCTGGCTCCTCAGATGCAGCTTTTGGATAAGTTTCCCATCGAAGGTGGACAGAAGGACCCCAAGCAGAGGATCATACCCTTCCTCCCAGGTAAGCTCCGCAGGCCCTTGGTGGGATGGGGGGCAGCCTGGGGAGGGGCAGCCCTCAGGCCAAGGAGAGGCGGGCTGCGAAGCCAGACCCTCTGGGCAGGGCAGGCCTGGGAAACTGCCCGTCAGCCAGTCCCAAGGGGGTTGGGAGTCCCTGATGTTGAAGGCCCACTGTCCTCACAGGGGCCTCTCCTGCCATCCCAGGGCCATCTCCGGCCCCGGGTCATGTAACGTCCCAGGAGTTTCTCAAGCTCTTGGGCTTTGGGTCCTTTTTACAAAGAGCACAGAGATCGAGTTCTCCCATGAAAGGATAAAACACCGCAGGCCTCACTCTTGTCACTGGCTCCCGTGGTCACCACGGAGAACCTTACATGGAGCACCCTTCCCTGTCTGATCCCCTCCCTCCTCCCGGCACCTCCTTCATGCCCAGCCTGGCCCTGCGCTCGCTGCCGGGAGGGAACTGGGAACACCCAACCCCCGGGTTTGTAATGGCCTCACGTGTGGTGCCAGGAGAGTCCAGTGTTCTGCTCACCAGGGGCCTGAGTGCCCCGCTGGGATGCTGTGGTCACAAGGGTCCCAGAACCAACACGAAGCCAGCGGGTGCCCTGGTGCTGGGCGTGGGGAGCAGCCAGTGCTCCAGGGGAAGGGTGCCTCGTCACTGTTCCGTCCGTGGGTGTTGATGAAGGGCTCAGCCTATGCCAGGCCCAGGAATAAGTGCCCAGGGCGGGGCTGGGGTGGCTGGTAGGTCAGGGGAGATGTGGTCTTATTTCCGTCCTCTCGGGAATCCTCAAGCCAGCGAGAGAGACAAGGATGTCTACTCCCCAATTAGGGAACCAGTTGAGACAGGATGTGACCTTCTCTGCGCTGTGCAGTCCCGGTGTTGATTGGAGCGGGAGGTCATTGTGCATGGAGGAAGGCACCCCTGGAAGAGGGGGCCCTGGAGCTGACCTGGAAGCCCGGGTGGGGTCGGAGGGTGGGGTGAAGCGCACGCTTCCGTCCTGCTGCTGCTGTAGAGTCCGGTGTCTCGGGCGTCAGATCGCCTGGCTTTGCCCCAGGAAACCCTGGCTCCGCCCTGGAAACTCTGGCTGTGGCCGTGCAGTGTTCTTTATGCCTCGGTTTCCTCATCTGGAAAGAGGGGACGATAATCATATCTACTTCATGGGGCTGCTGTAAGGATCAAATGAACATTCAGGTGCTTAGAAGTATAGCTGGCCTCTAGTAGGACCTTAAAAAAAAAAAAAAGCCTTTATTATAACCAACTCCTACCTGTGCCCAGCATGTTACACAGCCAACTCGTTGGATCCTCCTAGGGAAGTTATATCCCCATTTTACTGACTAGGAAATCGAGGCCAGGGGAGACTAACAGACAGACACAAGCCACACAGCCAGGAAGTAGAGCCAGCACCAGAACTCTCATCTCTGACTTCTGGGCCAGGGCTGCCCTCCACACCAGCTTCCCCGGGAGAGGATAACCAGACAGTTGCTGCCTGACCAGGGGCCTCCCTCATGGGTACTCTTATGGGGTTGTGGTGAGGATGAAAAGGATTCATGTAGCCCTAACCCATTTGGCTCAGTGGATAGAGCGTCAGCCTGTGGACTGAAGGTTCCCATGTTCAATTCCGGTCAAGGGCATGTACCTCGGTTGCAGGCACATCCCCAGTAGGGGAGGGGGTGAGCAGGAGGCAGCTGATGGATGTTTACCTCTCATCAATGTTTCTAACGCTCTATCCCACATGTGTCAAACACAAGGCCCGCGGGCCAAATCCGTCCCGCCAGGCCTTGCAATGTGGCCCGCACCGCGCTGTCATCACTGCACTCCGCTGCGTTTCCATCACAATGACAGTTTATGACTGTTCAGTAAACCATTCGGCCCGCGATTTAGGCTGGATTTTAGATTTTGGCCCCTTCTCTGATTGAGTTCGACACCCCTACTCTATCCCTTTACCTTCCTCTCTGTAAAAAAAAAAAAAACACCAACAAAAATATATTAAAAAAAAAAAAAAGATTCACGTAAAGCGCTTTGCAGGGTGCCTGTCCTGTAGGAAGTGCTCCATAAAGGCCGCTGCCCCATTGCTTCCAAGTCCCTTGCCTCCAGTTCTCCTTGCCCCCGAGTTCAAGGGGCCCAGATGAATGTCTGCACACTTAGCGGGGTACCTTACAGGAGAAGTGCCTGGAGCCTACCGGACAGCTCTTGTAGCGGAGTGTAAGCAAACCTACCCCTCTGCTCTGGAGAAAGACACTCTCCTGATCTTCCCAGGCAAAGGCGAACGAGCTGAGACAGAGGCGCTGAGACACTGCCTCTGTCGTCCAAGGCTGTCTGCTGTGCAAACACCTTTGAAAGATAATCCAGAACAAAAGGCAGTTAGCGCCCTGCTGACAGACATACGGAAAGGAAAGGAAGGGAGCCGGGGAGAATGCTCTCACAGCCAGTGGACCTTGTGCTTGCTGGGGCCTCCCGCTCTGTGGGTGGGAATGAAGCTCTGTAGGACGCCAGGCTCAGCACACTGCGGTCAGCCGCCTCTCCGCGCAGCCTGCTGTTTACATAGAACGTTCTGCCTTGTCTTAAAAGACCATTGTGGAAAATCCATCTCCTGTTGCCCATCCTGGGATTGGAGTCCATTTCCTGTGTATCCTGAGTTTGCCAGTCCAAGGAGGCTCCCTGGGAGGAAATGGTCATTGCAGAGGGAGCTAACGTGCGTGGCTGCTGATGTAAAAAGCAAACAACTGCGACCGGGGCCCCCAGAGACGTCAGAAGCCGGGCAGCAGAGCAGAAAGGGGTGAACTCACTCCGCCACGGCTGTGCGAGCTTTCCTCCCTCCACAAGCCGACTGTGTCCCCGGGCTGGCTGGGTCGGCCCCCTTGAGCTGCCAGGAAGCCCCCTCACCCCGATTGCCGAGTCAGTCCCACCCAGACGTGTGTGTATTCCTGGGTCGATGAGTCTGGGAGAAACTGGCTAGCTTAGGAAGAAAAGTGAGCCCACAGCCACGATCAAGGTGGGTGCTGTCAGCCTGCAGGCAGCCTCGTGACCTGTGCTCGGAGGCATGTATTTTTAGACGGCAGGCATGCTCGGGTCTCTGTGCCAGCTCACCCGTTTACACACCAGCCCCTTCATGAAGCGGCCGTGTGGAGCCACAGTGCAGGGGGGAGCTGGGAGGATTGTTAGCAGGGTCTCCAGGGCCTTCCTCTCCCCGCCCCCCAAGCCCCGTGCAGCAGATCCGGTGTTTGTTCCAGGGCAGAAGGAAGCGGGGCGGGGGAAGGGATGTCATAAGCCAGAGCTGGTCCGCGGCGTGGGGAGAGCTGGCCTTCTCCCTGGGCCATAGGCGTTTCTGCGAATCTCCACCAGATGCCCCCGAGGGAGCCCTCCCTGAACTGGCAGTTATTGCACCCCCCAAGGGGCCGGACCTGAGAGGTCTCTGAGCCCCACGGATGACCTCTGATGGTAGGAAAAGACAGGGCCTGCCTGATGGAGAAAGAAAAACAGCGTCTGCCAGTAATGCCAGGGTTTAGAAAAGATTGACAAGATTACAGGCCTGAGAGGCACCGGGTGCTGCTTTCAAAGCGACTGCCTCTGACCTCTTCTGCCGACGCCGGGTCTTCTCTGGCCATAATTGCTGCCCCCAGCCCCCCCAAATCACTCCCTTGCTCTGTAATCTGGGGCGGGCGGCTCTCAGGGTGGCTGTCGGCAGCTGGCCCCGAACACTCCGTGGAAGCGTGTCCATTCCTGCCCGAGGTGTTTACTGAGCACGTGCTTTGTGCCGGGCTGGCTTCGGCCACGGATGGCGTCCCTGGGAACAAGTTGGACCGGGGCGCCGTTCTCAGGAAGTTTCGCCTCGCAGTGGGGGAGCGGAGAGCAAACAAACTCCGACAGTGATAACGTCCAGGACGTAAAATAACCAAGTCACGCGACAGGTAGCTAGCTGGGCGCGGGGTAACTGAGATCAGGTGTTCAAAAAAGGCGTTTTTGCAGAGATGACACCTGAACGGAGCCAGGCCTGGGCAGATCAGGGCCCCGCGTGTCAGGCTGAGGAGACAGCACGGATGGTGACCTGAGGGTGACGGAAGGGTGTGCGTTTGAAGAACAGCAACAAGCGATGAACTGGGGCTGTGCGGGGCTTGTGCATACGGCTCCACATGTGTGCATACGTTGTGCGATGCTGGCCCCCATAAAACAGCTTCCAGGGCCAGTCTCCTCCTCTGTCAGATGGAATCACTGTGGTTCAGGATGACAATCCTCCCAAGCAGTTAGCACGCGGACAGCGCTATGTGAGCCGCACGGGGAGAGGCGTGCTCACGCAAGCCTGCCCGTCCTTCCCGGTGGCTCTACTGCGGGACACGCATGTGGGGTTTCCTTTCCCTGCCCTCTCTGTTGATTCAGCTTTTCCCCGCCGCCGCATTTCCTCCCAGCCACACTTCTTGCTTCTCCTTCCTTGCCTGTGGCCACTTGCAAAGCAGCCAGGAGCTTGTTTCTGAAGAGCTGATGACTCAGACGGCTGACCGAGGCTGAGCAGTGGGGTTGTGACCCGAGTGTGACAGAGGCTGTGCGGGGCCCGGCCCCGTCGCCTGATAACACAGCAGCAGGGGCACCAGCATCGCAGTCCTCGGCTCCAGGCTGCCAGGCCTCGCTGGGAATAACCGGCTTTGCAGGAGGCAGCCACTCAGGAATCCGTTTACTTTTGGAAGTGAGTGGGGGTTGGCCCCCTTAGCCCTGCCCCGTGTCGTCCCACGGTTCCGGGCCGGGAAAAGAGTCAGGTCACTTCCTTACAACGTGCTCTGTGCCTTCCTGAGCCAGGGAGACTTCTGGAAGGGAATCAACCTCCTAAACACCCATCCCAAACCCTCAGGCCTGAATGGAGCGTGTGCTAGGACAGGGGTTGGCAAACTCATGAGTCGACAGAGCCAAATATCAACAGCACAACGATTGAAATTTCTTGAGAGAGCCAAAATATTTAAACTATATAGGTAGGTACATTGTTATTAACTTAATGAGGGTTCTCCTAAGCTGGC